CACTGTCTTTCCTGTGTTCCCTGTGACTCGTTAAGTCTCTGTCACCCTGCTAGTATTGATTCTGGTACCCATTTGTCCTTTGCCTTGTTCTTAGTTTACTCCATGCGTTGTTATTTAGATTTATTTCACCTGTGTATAGTTACCATTGTGTCTCCACTCTGCCCTCACCTCTTGTGTTTTTGTTACCTCAGTTTGTTTCAGTTCCTTATCGTGTCATTCTGAATAACAAGGCATGGAGTAACCATTTCATGTTTACTGTTTGTTTGCCCATGAGCTTCCCCCCCTCTTTGGATCTATAGCAGGGGTGTCAAACTCCAGGTATCCTGACTCTTTTACATGTGTCTCTGCTGCAACACAGTAAGTAATTAGCAAGATCCTATAGAACGTGACTGCATAACCCTACTCAAGTAAATTTAAATAAATGTAAGTGTTGGGAAAAATGTGTATTCTTCTAGTAAATAAACTCTTCAAACTTGTTTAGTGAAATCCGCCTTTTGAATCTACTCATCTGGCATCTGATGTGACAAAACTGCATTGTAATATTGTTTCTCAAATAAATACCAACCATATTTCTATAAGCAAAGTTATTGCTGACATAATGACTTTTTTTTTGCATGAAAGGCTTTCTAAATTGTTATTTTAAAGATGTAGATGAGATTTAACAATAAATATTGTATAGAATCTGTCCAAATACAGAAAAAATAGGAAAATAAGCACTAAAATGTGTGTTTTGGATTGTTGCTTTTAGAAATAAAATATCTTGGAAGCAAAAATATAAAAAAATTTTCTTGTACTGTATTGCATTAATTACAAAGAAAAAAAAAACCTGACACCTCAAAAATATATTTTTAATTACAAAAAGTAGGACAATCATTGAATACAGTTTAAAATCAGGGATTTGAGAAATGCGACAAAACTAAATTTATAGCTTTGAGAGCCAGTCAGTAATGAAGCAAATAAACTGTTAACAGTTAATATTTAATGAAGAGGAAAAAAAACATGACTAAAGGGTCACAAATATAGAATTTCAGGAGATTGTCGTGGACATTTTAAATAAACCCGCAAACACCTTGGTGAGCATGATTTAAAGTGAGTTTAATAACAATTTTTATTAATTGCAATATGGAGAGACTCTGGTCAAATACCTAAGCAGTCTCTGACGATGGCTGCCGCCCTTACATCTTATATACAAACAGACAAAGACATTCCACAACTCCTACATGTTTCCCAATCTCACAGGCCCTATACCTTCCCTTCAAAGAGAGAGGGAGAGAGAGGTAAAAAATTACACATGTTTTTGCCGAGCCGTCACCTAGAGATTTACATCCCTGAATAGCAGGAGTCTCACTATCTGTTTAACGTCTCCCATGAACTAACAGTGGCTCCACTCTGTGTGTGTGTATATATGTATGATAGAGCATAAGGCCCACTTGTGGTGCACATGCATACAACTGGTGAAAATGTAATTCTACAATTACTAAAGTTATATGGTTAAAACATGTGATCAATACAAAAAAAAGCAATCTTCCACGACATTGTTACTGGCATCAGCGTTTAACTTGAGAGTAGACACTGTGTTCAGCACCCTCTCTCTTCCTTTTTCCTCTTGTTTTTCTTTCAGAGAAATTCAGTGCAGTGTAGTTTAGTTCATCATCAGCTTCTTCAGTCTGTGCCGTAGTTAAAAACAGTTATATAAAAATAAAATTATATAATTGAGATAGAGTTAGGTAGATAGTCTAAGGAGCTTGGAAAGAAAAGCGTCTGGAGTTCTTTGAGTTGCTTGAAGACGTTTCACCTCTCATCCGAGAAGCTTCTTCAGTTCTAAGGTCAAATGGTGGAGAGACCCAGATTTAATCCCAGTGGGAGTTTCCCCCACTGGGGGATGAGAGATGAAACGTGTTCAAGCAACTCAAAGAAGTCCAGACGCTTTTCTTTCCAAGCTCCTTAGACTACGATGACCTGGATGACTGAGAACCTTCACAGACAGTTAGATAGATAGAAAAACAATTGTCACATCTTTTAACATCAATAATTATTATTACTTACAAGTTGGTGCGAGGTTTCAGTTTGTATATCTGATAAAGCACCTTCATTTCCTAAGAATAAAAATAATAAATAAATAAATAGTGAAATGAACTTAACTGTGTCATTTGACTTAGAACCTAAAAATCTCATGCATAGAAATACATTGTTCTAATAAAATATATTAGATTGATTAATTACTAACCACTATAAACGCCTCATTTATTGCAGATTCTATTCATCGTTCTTCTGTAGAACTTATGATATTGTATATAAAATGTATAAATGTTTTACTTTTTAAAACGCTTACCTCTATGTGATTTACATACTTGTTGGTTGAAGATGAGGAACGCGTTTCCAATCACAGAAACAGCCAAACAAACTATTAATATCGTGCTCTGAATGAATACTGACTCGGTTGATTCTACAAAAACAAACAAACAAAAAGTTCTCAAACATTTTGATCACTCGTGCTGATTTTGTAAACAGAACTTCCAGTTGTTAAATAGAAAATCATACCAAGTTCCAGTGTAATTCCCTTTCCAAATAATATCTCCCCACATGTGGCCACAGCACAGTAGTAGGTCCCAGCATCAGAGGAGCTGACATTCTTAGAGAAGCGATAAACACATCTATCCTGGGGGTCAGAATTTTTCTCACATACATTATAGTTGTTTGTGTCAGTGTAGATGATGTTGGGATGAGCTTGATTTGCTCCAGCTCTAAACCAGAGAATATTGAGACCTCCTGGACATGTCTGGTTGTCAGAGTCAGAGAAGACTTTACACTGAAGAGTCATCGTGTCTCCTGAACGAACTGGGTTTGATTCTATCTGCAGCTGACTCACTGTATAGTTTGATGTCCTCTGAGTGTTTCCTGTGTAATAAAACATTTTTTTTTTCAAAACACGTTTTAAAACAATTTCAAACTTTGTAAAAGCATGTCAGTTTATTACCTTTTACCAACAAATACGTCCCACTCCATTTAACTCCAATCCTTTCTGTGTTTGCACAGTGATAGATTCCCTCATCATCTTGATCTGCTTTCAAAATGGTCAGGCTGGCAAAATCATCACCTATGTCAAATTTCAAACTAGTAAATTCAGGACCAAAAGTAGGTTCTGTAGATTTGAATACTGTCACTATTAACTTCAGAGTTCCCCCAAAACTCTGCTTGTACCAGTGGACTCCTCTACTGCTGAGCTCTTTGGGTATAGCACATGTTATAGTCGCTGGTTCACCAAGCTGAACAGTTTTCACTGGAACTACAGTATCTGAATTAAGAGAAAGCAGAAAAATAAAATCTTGTTTGATATATGTTTAACTTGCACTACATGCAAGGTACATGTAGTGCAAGTTAACTTATAAGTGCAAAACTATTTTTACAGCAATTTATATGCATCTGTTTGACAAGTAAATTCTTAAGAACATTTTTAGACAAATTTAAAAAAGCACTTACATCCTTGGTGAATTAAAAACAATGTAATCCATAAGATGATCATCTTGACAGTGCTTCTGTTGGAGACCACACTGGTATTTCAGTGAGTGGAGGAGGCAAGATGGTTGTTTTAGGTCAGACGGTATCTGATTGGTTAACACACAATAGATTCAAAAGTACATTTCCTGTCGCAATTGCCTCATCCTGGGCTTTGCAAAACCTATCACCTCTCTTTCATCTTCTGTTGCAACTGTCCATTTTCCAAACAATAACACTGTATAGTAATGTATAATGTATAATGTGTATGTGTTAGTCCCCATAGGGAAAT